TTGTGGGGAAAGCTGGGAACTAAGCTACTGTTTTCGACTACTTGTCATCCACAAACTGATGGACAAACAGAAGTGGTTAATAGGACATTGTCAACCTTATTGCGTTCTATTATTCAGAAGAACTTGAAGAACTGGGAATAGAACAAACAAACTGATATTTCATGTTACTTTAGGCTACTTTTAGTGATTTTCACGTTTTTTATATTATTTTGGACTGAACATTCATTTATTTAAAGCTCAATTCGTGGTTATTATGATTAGGGCTTAGGGTGTTAGTTTCCTATTCTGATTAGAATTACTTTTCCCTATTTAAAGGGGCTTGTAACCCTAATTGAGGTAAGTTATTAAATCTGAGTTTTAAGAAACTTTTCTCTTTGGTTTGTTTCAGAACTTTACAAAACTTATCAAGATTATTCTTGTGACGTTCTAACCTGACTTATCATTCTCGTTCTTAATCGTTCGAAGGTGTGGCGTCAACCAAATTTATACCTCTGGTTCTTGTTGCGTCATAGACAACAGGTCAAGATTTTTACCTTTGATTCTTGTTGCGACATAAATAACGGGTTAAGTTCCTATTATAAACCTGATTTAACTTTCCTAAAGTTTAGAAATCCTTGTCGTGCTGTGGTTCTCATTATTCTCTTTGGTGTTCTCATCATATATGTACACAACACACACATATTTTCCCAATCTCCACCCAATAAACTACTGGAATTACATTTTTACTCTAGTATTCAGTCATGAGTTTCAATTCCAGAAATCCCGAGTCTTTATACACAACTTAAAATAAAACTCTGCTTTAAATCTTAATCATACGGATACCATTTCTCTCCAAATTTTAAACAATCTTCAGTGAACATTTTAGCCAAGTTCACTACGAAACACCTCTACCTAATTTCCCCAAATCCCACGGACACAAAAATGGAAAACAAGGCTTTCATTTCAATTATTGATTTAATTATACACAACACACACACATATATATATATAGCTTCTAATTCCCACGGACAGAAAAATGGGGAACGTGGCTTGACAAAACCGCAACTCACACACGGATTTTTCATATAGAACCCCACGGCAGCAAATCAAGCAATTTCCTACCCAAACCAAGCTTAAAACACGTTTTATGCTACCCACAATTATCCCATAATTCCGGCAGGATCTCGGACAACACAGAGCAACTAAATGGACAACAATTAATTGATAAATTCGGACTTAAAAGGGCTGTCCATATCAGAATTTTCCAGCAGTAGAAACCAGGCTTGGCTGGTGAGGAAGTCGACGGGGAAAATTTTGGAGGAACACACGGGCTACCACAAATTCAAGAACCAAAACAGAAATTAGAGTAACCCAAGCCAAATCAAGGCTAAAAAGATGATTTCTTAGCTTTTCTTACCAAAACCGGACTCCCAAACCACCCAGCAGCAACCCGCGGCAGAGGAAGAAGAAGCAACCACAGATCTGAATTTTCTGGCTTCAGAGGGAGGGTTCTAAATCCTAAAGCTTGTTCTTGAACAAGAAGGAAGAGAAAAATCACCAAGCTTTACCAGTTTTCTCAGGAGAGATGTCGCCGGCTGCTGGCTTCTTTTCCGGGTTGTAGGGGCGAGGAAGAAGAAGAGCAGAACGTGCAAGTGGCTAGGAGGAAATTTCTAGGTTTAAATCTTGTTCTCCATCAAGAAAGGAAAGGGAAAACTCAAGCTCTTTACCGGTTCTCAAGGGGTAAGCTTCAGCGGCTTTGGGGGAAGCTTTCGGGAGGTAGAGGAGAAGAAGGACAGAGCAGACACGCGTGTGATGAGGAAGAAAAGAAAAAAAAAAATCTAAGCTTGATCCTTATCCAAAATTTTTCCTCTTTTAAGTCCCTAAACTTTAAAAAAATTTACTATTAAGTTCATTAATAATACTTCCTCACAATTAGGTCCTTACACACACTTTAATATTCTAAAAAATTTTGAGATATTACAAACTGAATTCCTTTCACACGGACCAACGGGTCGTTGGTACTGCACGCATATTAACCTCTTATTTTCCCATATTCTCTTCTCCACATCGACCACCACTAATGTGATGATAGAAAAAACGATTGGCATTTGAATCTTCCTTGGGGATAATTATAATTTTTTAGGTTCAAGGTAAATATTTTTTTATCTAAAATTTATTTATTTATTTACTAATTTTTTCACTTGAATTTTAGAAAAAAAAAATGACATATAATTTAATTTTAAAAAAATAAAAATCAAAACATCATAACGTTTTAAATATTAAAATCACCTATAAAATTGTTCAACTATACTTACTAAATTTTTTATGTATTGATTAATTAAAGATATTTTAACATTTTCATTATCATTCATAACAATTAAATTGCCAAAAAGCCCTAATTTTGTTCCATCCCTAAATTTAATACACTATAAATTAGATTAGACAAAGCTTTTTCTTTTTTTTTTTTTTTGGTCAATGACAATTATCAATCTTTTATAATTGATTTTCTTAGTTGTGTAAAAATAGTCATTTTTTTGAAATCTTGCGAAACTTTATGCAGCTAATAGGAAAACACAAAATCAAGTTCAATTAATCTAACTAGATGAATACAATAATGACACTTTCCTTTGCTTTGCTCCATTAATCTTAAAATAATAGTCATTTTAAAATAATGCATGCAAATTAATAAATATGAAATACAAGATTTAAGTACAAAATTAAATAAAAAAAACAATAAAATTAATGCATCTTAAAAAATGTAAAGACCACATTTAATCAAGAATAGATATTTAGTTAAAATGACTAATTATTATGAGATGAATGGAGTAATTAATTATAATATATTAAATATGAGGATATATAGTGGCAGTTAATTTTAACTCTTTAAAAATTCAAAAATTAAGAATTCAAAAATTTTTAAGTATGTCATTATAATGAAAATTTATTAAAAGATACTAAAATAACCTCTCATTTTCTTTCTCAAAATAAGTTATTTTAGTATTTCAATAATTATTTATTAAAATGATATAATTTTGTATCTTTAAACTTTTAATCTTTAAAAGATAGAATTGATATGTAATGTTTTACATTTATATAGTATTAAATCAATACATGTTGATTTTAAGAATATTAAAATATTTAATTATAATTATTAAATATATAAAATATAATACAAATCTTAATTTTATCAAATTTATTGCATAATTATTATTATATGTCTTAACATTTTATACACCAAGAACAATTTTTCTTTTTCTCTTTTCAATGTAATTATATGCCAAGTATTTACTAAGAAAAATTGTTTTACAATTTATATTATATCAAATTATAAAATAATCATCTTTTAATTAAAAGAAGACTCTTTGATATTAGGGTTTTTTTTCTTGTTTAATAGTTTTAATTTTATAATTTAATATAATTTAAATTAAAAAATAAAAATTAATTTACTAAACTATAATTTATAATAAATAGACCTATTTCTTTATTTAAATTATTATTGAAATGTGGATCCAATTACTAAACCTTTAATTTTTGTGTCGAGAATTTTATCACCCTCGTTAACAATTTTACCAAACATTTGAAAAATTTTGCCCTTTATATACTATTTTGCACAACAAGAGGGCTCACTTGAAAAGTCTTGGGCGGGAAAGACACTGTTAATGAGTGGGGCCCACCATCTATGTTATTTAGGTTCCATCCTCCATGAGATGATTGATGATGTGTAATTGCTCATCATTAAAAAAAAATTAAAGGAAAATGTAAACCGGAAGCCATTTAATGGGCAACGTCACAATTAACTAAAAAAATTTGTATTTTTTTAATTGAGAGATAAAAAATATAAAAAATAATTGAGGTGTAAAAATTATTTAAAATTAAGAGTTTAAGAATTAAATTTGATATTTAACTTTTATATTTTTATATTATTTTTCTCAAAAGGGAATTTGCTTCTTATAATCTTTTGTATAAGAATAAAACTTTGTTGATAAAAAAATTATTAGGGTTATAAAACTAACATGAATGATATAATATCAAGTATTATACATATAAAAATATGTAAAAATAAATTGGATAATCTAATATTTACATAAATTTCACAGTTAAATCTAAACTCAAGATTTAGTAATTAAAGATCCATTTGGATAGACGAAAATAATCTTATTTTGGAAAATAATTTTCACAAAAAATATTTTTTTTTCTAAGGATTATATTTTGGTGTTCAGAACATTCTAAAAAACATTTATAAATTGTTTTCATTGTTTGATTATTAATGTCACGCCCCATAACCCAAATCCGGGGACGTGGCAGACGCCGTGCACTCGTAAAAAGATTTCACAAATGCACAAAACTTGAAACTTATCAAATTCACATATGACAATCCACAAAATCTGAAGATCAAATTTTATAATTTGCTCTAATATCATAAATCTCCAATTAAAATCTCTAAATACAAGATCATGATTTATTTCTAAAATTTCATATCCAATTACAATATGGCTAGCCTTCTAACTCGTCAATTCCTGTGGTTTCCTCGTCCTCGGTTTCACTTCCTTAAATGGTGGTTAAGGAAAAACTATGAAATAACTCAATAAGTAAATATGGATAGCCCTTAATTAAACTCATAGCATGCCAACGAGTATAATAACGAAAAACGGATACAATATGGGAACGAAATAGACGTATTTTCTATAGGTCACAGCCAGTGTTATAAACTTCCCACTGGCAAGCACACTATTTGCTGGTGTATAACCCCCACTAGCAGGGTTGAACGCCGGTTCTATCAATAACATGTCAACATGTGCTAGCGTTTATAAACCTCCAACTAGTGGGCACACTAATAACATAACCATATCGGAGACAAAATAGACAGAAATTAACAGAAAAACCATAATTCACCAATCACTTTCAAATCATTGGGACAATCAATTAAATTTCAAGTAGGCATGCTCAATTTAATGAAAATCATATTAATTTCATTTCAAATCAGTCATGCTCGTGTAAAACAGGTTTAATCTCGCCACCACTTCAAAAACAAATCAAAACATGCTTTTAAAAACTATACGGGCGTTACCATAAATTTACTTACCTCACTCGCATAAAACCGAGCACTCAATCTCAGTACTAACTGACAGAACGATCGGGGACCTAATCAAAATATTTCAAAAATTAATTCTGCACTCCCATAAATTCAAACTGAAATCATCATTAAGACTACCCCTAATCACGATACTATTTCTATCAATCTCCACATTATCAGATATCTCCAAATTTGTTCTTATATCACAAATTAGTCATTTGAATCCCCGTTAATTGTTGACCCTCGGTGTGTGAACAGTAATCTATGAACAGTGTCGTGAACAGTAACTCCAACTTCCAAAATTGGCAAAACCATAGCCTATTCTCACGGGATTTTCTCCAAAATCTCACAGCAGTCAATTAACACTTAATCACATAAATCCCACTTGAATTAATGCTTAATTTTGTCCTAAAGCTACCGAAATTTCCCCCATTTTTCAGCCAAATTCGGACATCACAAGGCAACAAATTAAATGGGTGATTTCAAGCTTGGAGGACTGTCAACATACCAGAATTTTCCAGCTGCAGAACCAGACTTGGCAGGGGGAGAAGCCGGCGGTAATTCTGCAGGTACTCACGGGATTACCAAAAATTGAAGGAACCAAGAGCAATTAAGGTAAACCCAAGGCAATTCAAAGCTAGAGAAGGGAGATTCATGGCTGTTTCTTACCGGAAAAATGCCCAGAAATCACCAACAATCAAGAGCAGCCGGCGGTGAGGAAGGAAGGAGCAGAGCAGATCCGGAATTTCCAGCAGGGGGG